CAACCCTAGCTATTCCCCTCTTCTCCTATCAACACCCCACGACTAAGAATCTCAGCCCTAATTCCCCTCTTCTCCAAATTCCCATCTTCTTCATTCCCAAATAATCCCAGCCCTAATTCCCCCAAGGTTCAATGCCAATCCCATCCCCACTACTCTTCTTCACTTTACACAACCTCCTCCCACTTCAGGTAAGGTTTTCTTTTTGCCAATTTTTGTTGGGTTTTCTTTTGAATTCTTGATTATGTAGTTTTTCTTCTCTTTTCTTAGAAGTAATTTGTAGTGTATACATAGTGCTTGTGGGTGGTGGTATTTGTGGAGTTGTATCTCTTACCTTAGTTGGGTGAATTTGGGCAATTGTGGTGGTAATTGGGTTACAACATGATTAATTGGGGGTTCTGGTAAATGCTGCCCACAAAGTGTTTGTTTAAATGTCACAGTGAGTGTCAATGATAATTGTGACCAACTGTGCGGGCAAAGTCTGAATAGCCGCAGTCGAGTCACACCTTTTGTGTTGTGCTAATACTACTTAGTCTGAGGAGCCAAACCACTGGTGCTTCATCCAGCGGTCAATCTGGATCCTCCAGAGCGCGCGCTTCAGCTCCTACTCGTCCTTTTGATAGTAACAGGTTCGTCTCCGCCGCTGCTCAGGACCATTTTGCTGATAAGGCCTCCAAGAAACCAATACCAGAGAGGGGCATATATATAGGGTCGCTCCACAATGTCTGCCCAACTTGTATAATGAGCTGGTCAGGCGTGGGCTAGAAATTTTCTTTGAGGGGCCGACGATGGGAATTTGATGGTTGTGCGTGAATTCTATGCCAACGTAAAAGAACATGTGAATGGTGTAGTAACAGTGCGCAAAAAGGCCGTGAATGCCTCTGTTGAGGCTATTCGGAGGATATACCGGCTTCCCGCACCTGTGGAGATATACCGAACTGTATGGTAGAAGATACACCCAGTGGGTGAGGTTCTTTGAAACCATATGTGTACCCGGCAAGGAAATTGTGTGGATGAAATATGGAAGAATTTCCATTCAGCGGCACTCACCTTTGAAGGGAAAATCTAGCTGTATGTCATCAACAATCGCCTGCTCCCATCCTCCAACACCACAGAAGTGAATGCTCCTCGAGATGCTTTAATTTGGTGCTTTATAAATGGTCACAACTTTGACATTGCCAAGCTTATTCACGTGGAGATGTTTACACGTTGTCCGGTGAAGAGGTATGGTTTCTTCTTCCCTTCCCTAGTCACTAGGCTTTGCCGGGCAGCTCGGGTGCCGAAAAATTTGAATGTGGATGGAAAAGTGCCGAGAGAGGCAAAGTTTCGAGCTGACAAGGTGACTACGGGGAAGGAGCCTGTGGCACTTGGTGGTGATGATAGTGCTGACTCCGATGAATCTGAGGAGGGAGAGGATGGGCAAGAGGAAGTAAGAGCCAAGTCGCCCGCCCATGAGCAGGTTGCAGAAGCTGCAGGACCATCTGGGGTTGGTCAGGTTACCCGATTAGCAGCCTTAGAGCAGGAGGTGGCAGGGTTGCGTACCTTGGTCGCTGACTTAGGTACGCGTGTTGATGCGATGGCCACCCATCAGGTTAAATCTGAGAAAAAAATAATGGGCTGGCTGCGAGCTCTGGGTCGTGCATGTCATCTAGACCCAGGGACGGTCTCTGATCAAGATTGATCCATCAGGGAAGTTCCTTTACCTCACAGTTCTTTATTTTATATGCCATGAGGACATATCTTCTTTTTAAGTGTGGGGTGGGGGATACTTCAGTGTATGTGTATATATGTAAGAACATGATTGTTTTATGTTTTCTTTTGTTTTGTGGCTTTGAGTAGCAGTCAAATTAGATGAGTCGACTTGTCCCGACGACAAATCTCATTCGGCAGGGTTTTTGAGGGTCTAAGTCGACCTTTATAAAAAAACAAAAAAAAACAGAAATAGGTTGGACTCTTCCTGATGAAATATCTTCTACACAGTTTCTTGAGGGAAGTAAGTCTAAAGTGTGACACATAGTCTCAGTTGTTGATTCTTGTTAGAGTGCCTTAAATTGTATGTTTGTAATTGACTTGAGTACTCAAATGAGAGTGTTTTTATAATCCAATCTGGAGTGAGTCATGTGCCATGTGTGTGTGAGTTGTATTGTATTCTATGCTTTGAATTTGATGCCTAGAACTTGCCCTGTGTGTTTCCAAAGCAAAATAGTAGCTTTATTCAGTCTTAGAAGTGATATAGGCATTTCTTTGTTAAGTCAGATATATAAAGTAGACCCACCTAAATGCGATACATCGTAGTTAACCCCGTTGATCCTATAAGCATGTTTCTTTGGCAACCACATTACAGACCTTACCCAATTGTTTGAACGACCAATCTGTTTGAACCCCTTTACCTCTCATGAACACTTGAATGGTTATGAAATATGCAAAAGTTAAAGTGTGGGGTGGTGGTTTGATTTTTGAGTGGAACCAATGAAATAGAGAGAGAGAGAGAGAAAAAAAAAAGGGTGCAGTGTTTTGAAAAATGAAAGAATAAGCGCCACTTGAAAAAAAAAGTAAAGGTAGTCCTTGATAAGTGGTGACTTGATACAATTGCACCTAAAGGAGTTTGGAGTATTATAAATAGAAGTGTGGTGGAATGTCTGGTCTGACATAAGTATGGTTCTGAATGCGAAAGTGATTGTATTAAAAGTGCTTAGGGAGGTTAGTCACTATATCCAAATATATCCTACCTGTCCCTTAGCCTACATTACAACCAAATGAAGTCCTAATTGATCTTAAACTGAATGAGCTCAATTAGTAGAGTAGTACACTACGGGCAAGCCTATGGTGCATCTTTGTGATATATGAATGTTCTTTCTGAGAGTGAGTGAATTTTATCTATCTGCGTTCCTAATTGTTCTTAATATTATTACTTGTGGAACTACTCTCTTGTGTGATATGAGGGTATTTGATTCACGAAGGAAAGGTAAGTCTTGACCTCTGTATAGAGTAATTTGAGTAAGTATGAATATTGCACAATATGTGAGAGTCGACTCTTGAGGCAAAGATGTTACACTACTAGATGCAACTTTGGTGATATGTTCTTGGTGTGATATGTTAGGGAAAAGCTTAGTGAAGGAACCTTTGTAGAGTAGGGTGGATTGCTCAGGGACTAGCAATGATTTAAGTGTGGGGTATTGATAATAGGCTAGATTCATGTAGTTTGGTGACTATTTATGCCCCAACTTGACTGTGTTTCATTGTTCTAGGAAGGTTAAATGACGATAGAATGGCTCTAATTGTGAATTTTATGTTTTGCAAGAGCAAGCCGTGCTTATGAGGACTTAGGACAGTGTTTGAAGCTAAATTAAGGCAAGTAAAGCCCCTCAGAGTCGAGTACGTGTGAAAGAAGAGAGAAAAGAAGAGATAAATAGCTAATCCACTCTAGCGTGGGCCAAGCGCGTCTTTAGAGCGGCCACGCTAGAGAAGAAGAACTGGGGCAGTGTTGAAGTCAATTAGTGTGGCACAAGCGCGGCCGCTCTAGTCCAGGAAGCAACGACAATGTAGAATGCTATATGCGCGGTTCGAGCGCGGCCGCGCTAGTCACTCCGAAATGCAAAAATTTTAGGGGTAAACTTGGAAGTTTGGAGGTAATTCCACTTAACCTATAAGAGGTCCAGCTCGCCCAAAAAGAGGATATCAAGGTTTTTATAGTTTTGTTCAAGGAAAGAAGAGGCAAGAGGCAAAGAGGATAATACGACAACGAGTTCTACCTTTATTCCTTTTGTTTTTATCATTCATGATGAATTTTGCTGTTGTTATTATAAACACGATTATGAGTAGCTAATTATTTAGTCTACGGTTTTGATGGAGCCTGTTGAGGGATGAACTTCTTGTTGTGTTAATATAGTTTTCCCAGTTTAATCTCTATTTGTTCAACTATGTTCTTGTTTTAGTTAATTGATAGGATCCTCAATTAGCTGTGCCTATTTAATATGTATTACTCGGGAGAGAGTACATATTTAGGTAATAGTTGAACAGCACCACTCCCAAAGTATATGAGGAATCAATAACCAAGGATTTAAAGGTGGGATTAGGGATAACGAAATCTTGGGTGCGATCTAAGCGAGCTGTAATAAAAGCCAGCTAGCGTAACTCGGAATTGTGCGTCTAGTAAATTGTCGTAATTACTCGGGAGAGAGTTACGGTAGTAAGAGTGCTCATAATTGATATAGACGATTAAGCAAATCTATACGATACATAACATGAAGGGATTCCATCAATAGGGGAAATCACAACCTTAATTAGAACTTCTCTTATTTGTTTACAACTCATTAAAAGTTAGCTTTTAGTTTACTTAATTTTATTCAGTTATAGTTAGTAGAAATATCGCCAAGTGTTATTCAAAATATCTGGGAAGTTGACTACGGAGAATTCAGTGAGTCTGGCAAAAGTAATTGGTAGGTTAATTCCCTGTGGGATTCGACTCTGGACTAAATACCCGGATTATATTTACAACGACCGCTTGTCCTTTTTATAAGGCATAGTTTGGCGTGATCAGTCATTCAGCTTAAGCTAATTACTAAGTAAAGGTCATCTTTTCTTGTCATTATAAAATCATCCAATTTAATATAATCCTCCCAAAAAACTATTTAATCGAAAAATTAACTTTATGGTGCTAGAAACCATAAACTTTCAGATTTCTCAAACGGTCATCTAACTTATGAGTATTTTGGAAAAAAAGTAGTATTTGAAGTTAAGTTGAAAAATAGTATTTGAACATGCATTTCACTTGCATGGGGGCCTAATTTTTTTTTTTTTTAATGTGTTTGTCCATAAAATTTTGCATGAGGGCCTAAATTTTCGGATTTCTCAAATGGTCATCCAACTTACGAGTTTTTTCTTTTAAAACTCATTCTTTGTTTCTTAAATGAACTCTATGTCAAATCAATAATATTTACTTGATAAATAAAATTTTTAACCAGTATATACTATATATATATATATNAAAAAAAATACAGAACCTCTCGTCAAATGTAGTGTTCGCTGCAGAATCGACGATCAAATCAGTTTCTTCAGCAATTTGGTGAGCAGTAATAATATCCATACCAAGGTTTGGCTCATGTATATTTCCAACCACAGGAACCAATTTACTTAGCATAAATGGCTTGTAATATTCACCATGTATTTCTTCTAGGCCTTTGAATAATTTTGACTCTATAATCTGATAATAAAGAAAAGGTATATTAAAAATTAATATTGTTTCATATTTGTACAGACTTAATTAAATTTTATAAAAGGAAGAATTAATAAACATACTTCACTTGTTAGTCTGTCAAATGCAACTCCCTTATCTTTTGCCCTAATGAGGAGATAGATTTTGTTTATCTTTGGTGTTGTTCTTAGCATCTTTTCGACCAAAGCTGCAAAAAATTGTTGTATTGAAAATGTGAGTACTAATAAAGATGAGGTAATAAAGAATAAAAACAAGAATGATTGACAATATCTGTTGGTCTTTGTTCTATTTCTATATAGTTTTATTTTTTTTATTTAATCATCCGGTATTCAGTATTTTACCTACAAGCTCAATTAATTCGAACGTGTCATCATGTATGCTTACTTAAGAAGAAATTTCTCAATTCTTAAGACTCGAACTCAAAACTATTTAAGCATGGCTCTCCATGCATCCACTTTGGTGGTAATCTTCATTTAAAATGGTCATTATCTTTTTTTCTCTTTTTTTTTTGTGGTTAATAAAATCTTTTTCTTTTAGACTATCAATAGTCAAATAAGAGTCAGCAACTGGTAAAGCAATCATGGGAATATTGTTTACCTGCAAAATATATAGTAATAGACATGTACTTATAGGCTATACTCGATAGTAGGTAAAATTACGAGCCCGTTTGGTCATGAATTTTTTTTTTACTTTTTTCGAATTTTTCTTTTATTTTTTTTAAAATTAGTGTTTGACCATAAAATTTTTAATTTTCACTTGAAGATCAATTTTGAAATTTTTCGAAAATTTGAAAAATTTCAAAAAACTGTTTTTCAAAATTTTTACTCAGATCATTCACAAAAATTCAAAAATACCCAAAACTATATTCATGTCCGAACACAACTGTAATTTTCAAATACCATTTTCACTTGAAAAAAAAAATCATTTTTTTCGGAATTTTACAATTCTTATGTCCAAACGCCCACTACAACAACAACAAGCCTAGTGTAATCTCATAAGTAGGATCTGGAAAGGGTACAATGTATGCAACTTCATCTCTACTTTGTGAAGGTAAACAAACTATTTTCAACAGACTTTCGGCTCAGGAAAAATAAAGCCACAACATAGTTGAAAAAAAATACAATAATGGATAAACCACGAAAAAGAAACAGAAATGCGAAGCACTACCAATAATAACAAGATAACAAGAAAGTTGAAGTAACAAAAACGACTTATAACAGGTAAATTGTACTCCTATTATTGTAAAAATCTTTTACACGATCTGTTTATATAATTTTAATTAAAAAAATGATATTGCAATTTCAAAACGTAATGAATATTTGAAAAAAGAAAAGAAAAAAAAAAGGTGAATAGTACGTTGTCCACCCAAAATTACTCATAGTGGAAAGAAAATAAATGTAAGTAGTGGCTATTCAAGGTAAAATTAAATGGAGTGATATTTTGCATGAAAGAATCACAAGAAGATTCTTTCCTTAAAAAACTCAACAATCCCTACCTCCATATTGAACAATTTAATTTTATTAAAAGCAAGTAGGTGGCTGTAAATAAAAAACAAAAAACAAAGACGTACACTTAATAGATGGGAGACAGGGGTGTTCATAGTTCGATTTGGATCGGTTTTTTCCTAAAAAGGAACCAAACGAAGTAAGTCGGTTTTTCAAATATTAGAACCAAACCAAACCAATTAAGTCAGTTTTTTCTCGATTCCGTTTATGTCGATTTTTTGGTTTTTTCCGGTTATTTGTCGGGTTTTTCTTAAATATAAGACATACACTACCAAACACACATTTCGGCGACCACATTTTCAACGTAACACTATCAAATCAATTGTCCTTTGAGAAATCTATTATTTACCAAGATATATTGATGATAATTGAATCAAATAGTGATGACTAATTTAAGGACTCAATTAAAAATATACTCACTCCGTTTCAATTTATGTGAACCCATTTGACTGAGCACGAAGTTTAAGAAAAGAGAGAAGACTTTTGATTTTGTTGTGTAAAATGAGGCACATATATTTTGTGTGGCTATAAATCATTGTGTAAATGTAAATTGTTTCTAAATAAGGAAAGAGGTCATTCTTTTTTGCACGGACTAAAAAGGAAATAGGTTCACATAAATTAAAATGGAGGGAGTATTATTTTTAACATGAGATAGATTCTTACACTTAACAAAAGAAAACTACCGATTAAACTAGAATGTAAAGGTAAAGAACTTTACTAAATGTGCAAACGATTAAAATTTACTATAAAATTTTTAAAAATTTGTATAAAAGTATACATATATAGGTGTAATAATAAATTTAAAATAGCTACTCCTATATTCGGTTTGATTCGGGTTTTTTTAATTAAAACCAAATCCAAACCAAATTTGATCGGTTTTTAAATTTCAAAACCAAAACCAAAACCAAACCAAACCAAAAAGTATCGGTTTTTTTTTTGGTTTTCGGTTTGGTTCGAGTTTTCAGATTTTTATGAACACCCCTAATTGGAGATAAACATATATTTTTACCGGATGTTATACCAAATAATTGTAAGACATATGTCTTACATATAATTTTTACTACTTATGATTAAGTGATATACATTTTTATTTTGATTTGTTAATTCTTAATGTTAATTGTTTAGTTAGAAGTAAATATACGGGACGGATAAATTCAACGATTCAGATATAAACATCTAAATTAAGTAGAGGCGGATCCAGGATTTCAAGAGGATGGATGCACTATTGTGAAGATGCGAATTTAGAATTTATATTTGACGAGTTTAACTTTAGTATCTACCATGTACCCACTACACTTTTGAAATTATAGGTTCAAAAGTATATCTTTTTAAATTTTTTTTTAGTGATTTTTACATATATATCTATACTCCGTGCCGAAAACAAGACCGTCCGGAGTGGGATTTGAACCACCAATTTCACTCGTAGAGGTGCACCCAATGATTATTGCACCATAGGAGTCTTTGAGTATGGGTTCACACACATATAATTAAGTAATTCTCAAGAAATATAACATTATTATACATGGTTTAGGAAAAGGAATATGGGTTCACATGAACCCATATCCTAAGACTTACACTCTATTTGGGTCATTGTTCCCCATTGTTTTATAATTTATTGGATTGTATTGGATCGTATTGTACCGTATCGTTTTATGAATACAATGTTTGGATAAATTGTTTTGTTTGTTATTGTTAAATAATATTTTGTTGTTTTGTTTGACTGTATCGTACTGTACTGTAACTGATAAATTTACTAAAATACCCTCAATTTTTTAAATATTAAATTTATCAAAAAATATGTAAAAAAAATAATTTTAAAAAATAAAACAGAAGAAGGCAAAACACCTTAAGAAATCAGAACAAAGGAGCGAGACAGAAGAAGGCAAAACAAAGGAGCACAACTAATTAGAATTGAGTTAAAAACAAATTAGGAGGAAAAAAAACATAAGGCGGCAAAACACCTTTAACATTGGTCTGGAAAAAAACAAAGTAGGTTATAAGTTGGAGAATTGGAGTTAAAATAGCAAAAAAAGAAGAAGGGTAAAATAGAATTGTGGAGTAATAAATTAGGGTATAATTGAAAAGAAAAATAAGAAACAATCCCACCACATTAAATCGGTTGTTTCCAAAAGAGGGATTTTTTATTATTCCGAAACAATGGATTTAATAATACAATATAATCAATTTTAATAAAACAATCAAAACAAACATTGTTTTGGGATAACAATACAATACGATACAATGAGGAACAACCATCCAAACAAGCTGTTAGATACGCCTCTGATATTAAGAGAAGAAAAATATTTTCAAAAAATACTTTTTAAAATATTCCATCTTTAGCTGCTTCTCACTTTGACACAGCAGCATGTGGAAGTGGACTAAACAACGTAATACAAACACTACAAAAAGAAAAGAAAATATAATATTGTAATATTATTAGAAAGTTATTTTTCTCCATACAACTAAATACAGAAAAATATTTTCTATTCACCCAACCGAACATTTAAAACTATTTTTAACTCAGCAACCAAATACTGAAAATATTTCTTATTTTCCACAATTTTTTCTTTAGTGATTTCTTTCATAACGAACACACCATAAGTTAAAAACCTTAAAAGATGATTAATTATAACCAAAAAGTGCGATATAAATTCTCAAAAAAATAATTTAATAAAATTACCTTTTGCGAGAAACCCTGTAGCACCAGTGACAAGAACATTCTTCCCTCCAAAAAAATCCACAATTCCAATTCCATCACTGGATTTAGGAGTATTTAAAACTTCAATATTTTCCTCCATTGTTATGGCTTCAACATCAGTGACTGCTTTTAATAAACATTTTTGTGGATTTCCTAAGTTTTCAGATTTCATGCAACAAAATCTTTTTCTTGCTTTTTTATGGTTTTCCAAAGATGAAATGTTATATTTAAAAATAGTAGAATCATGATTTTCAGAAAATAATTTAGTTGGTAATTCCCTTGTATAAAGGGGGAAAATATTTTTGAAACGAAGCATTGGTATTTGTCCAAAAAAAGAAAATCTGTAGGAGCTGAAATGATCTTTTGATCTCCATTTATAGAGGGAGTTTAAAGACAGTACTCATTCTATTTCAATTATGTGGCAACTATCCCAGAGCTATGATTTTCACTAAGAGAAACCAAAATATAAAGAAGTAAACACGTTAAAAACTAAAAAGAATTTTTCATATAGTATATATGCGTAATTGTTTTTTTACCTAGCTATATAAAGGGTAGCCAGCCCGATACACTAAGCTCTCATCATGCGCAGATCCGAGTGTTAGAGGTTGTCTTGATTTTTTTTTATCACGTTTGATTTTTCTATCTCTTGAAGGAAATGACAACATATTTACCATAATTGGGTTTTTTTTTTCTTGTAGAAGAAAATTATAAATTTCCATATTTGGCTAGTCCCTTTTATTGTAGGAAAATGCTTGTACGTCTATAAATTGAGGATCCTTCCTTCTCATACGGCAGCATCCACAATGTAGCCATATGAGGCTTGAGAGTCGTGTTTAGGGGGAAAACTTTAGGGGACAAATGTTAGTATGTCACTTGTGTTTGCCTCTTCGTGAGGTTGTTCTCTATTTTGTACTCTATTTTATTATAATGGATTGCTCATCTCCCCCGTGGAAGTAGGTCAATTGGCCGAACCACGTTAAATATTTATGTCTCTTTTGGTATATTTCTCTTCTGTTGTCTGATTTATCGTCGTTCAAGTGTTGCTTTACTAGCTTACGCATAATACCTGACTTTGTTCCGCTCCTAACACCGGGGAAGGGTCAAATCACAAGGATCTATTGTACGTAGTCTTGCTCTGCATTTCTGCAAGAGACTATTTCCACGGCTCGAACCCATGACCTCCTGGTCATATGCCAACAACTTTACCAGTTTTCTTTTACCTAGCTACATTATATAATTTTTCGGTGAAGAGGTATCAATTGACACTCCTTGAATAAAAATAGCGATTATTATTTAGGAAGTCAAAAATTTCTTCATTTGATAATTTAACATTATTAATTATTGTATTTGGAGAGTATTTAACTAAGCTTATAAGCTGGTCAAACAAACTTATAAACACAAGTATGACTTATTATTATTTTTTTAATATCAAATATGGAACTTTTATTTAAGGAACTTAATAAATATATACACTGAAAATTAAGTAAAAGACTCGCTCATTCCATATCTTGTCACATAAATGAAATGCAGAGTGTAGTAATCAGTAATACTGGTACCACCAGTTACCACATGAAGAGTATCAGTACCCATGTTTAATTATAGCATCTTTTTAAATGCTTACCTTCATAAAAAAAAATTTGTTCTCTATTTGTTAAAGTAGTACAGTCAAACCTCTTTGTAACAATCTCGTTTATTCCGATATTTTTTCTTGTTATAGTGAAGTGTTGTTATAGAAAACATATAGTATAACACAACATAGAAATCGGTTCCAAGAAATAGAGGCGTAGACACCTTGCCTCAAGCGGTGTCACGTGGCACCGCTTCGTCATTTTTTTACTAAATATATATGTTAGATAATAAGAAAATGAAAATATGCGGTAAAAATATAAAAATGATATCGTTTATCGTTATAGTAATTTATTTATTTAAATGGTGACACTGCTTATAAAATTTTGTGCGTACGCCACTGCCAAGAAAAATTTAACTTTTATAGTAAATGATTTTTATATAGCGATGATATTGTAGAAAAATCTGACTGTATTTCTTTTTTTGGATGAAGGAAGAAATGACCTAGTGAATTGGTTGTAAGCAAAGAGGAAGACCAAAGGAGAAATTAGAATTCTGTTGTACGAAATTTTCGAGGATTTAAGCGCTAAGGTGAGTTTGGTTTAAGCTCCCGTTTAGCCATAAATTTTTTTTTTATTTTCTTTTCATGACAAAATGTTCGGGAATATATATTCTATTAACCATAATTATGTAATAATAGTATATTAGCAAACACATGTTATGCATCAATAGATTAATATGACTGAGGTTAAAGTTTATTTATATTCAAATGATTATTTTTTCTTGCTTTTGCTTTACTTATTGTCTTGTTGAGGTTATTAGATCTTATTATTGGGTTTATTTTTTTCCTTTGCTCGAGACGAACAAATATTTAAGTGTGAGGTATTTGAAACCGATGAGTGACACATATTGAAAAACTATTTTTTTTTCTCTAATATCGTTCAGTTAAACCTTTTATTTTGGGATAAAAAAACTCTAGAAATTGTGTTTGCATATACTCTAACAAAACGGTTAGAAACAAAACATAATATTAAATTTGAGATGAAGATACTATTAAAAGAACAAAACTAGGGAATTCACTTATGATATCAAAAAATAAGTAAACTACTCACTTTGAGAAAAAATGTGTAAAAAACATTTTACACATTTATTAAAAGAGCAGGCCTTTGATTGCTCATGAATACTCTTTGATTTCTTTCTTGCCCGAGATAGTAGATGCTTCCAGCTAACACCATTCTAAGCACCTCTGCGCTGGAGTTCTTCACATTAAAGTGAGTTATAGCCCAATTCCTCTCATTATTCCATCCCATTGCTTGTCTAGAGATTCCCTGCCGGTAGTGGTGGCAAAATGGTTAAAAGAACATAGTTAACCACCCGTATTAAAAAGGGTAGCTCGGCGTGTTAAGCTCTAGCTATGCGCGGAATCTGGGGAAGGGGCGGACCACAACGATCTATTGTACGCGGCCTGACCCTGCATTTCTGCAAGAGGCTGTTTCCACGGCTTGAACCCGTGACCTCCTGGTCACATGGCAGCAACTTACCAGTTATGCCAAGACTCCCCTTCATTTAACCACCCGTATTATCCACTAAAAAACGGGTTAGATAATGAACTTTTTAAAATTAGGTCAAATATGGATAAAAACCATATTATCCATTTTGAAAATGGATAACCAATGGGTAACCAATTGTCACAACCCGAATTTTCCACCCTCGGGAGTCGTGATGACGCCTACTCGTGAAAGCTAGGCAAGCCGCGCATTAAAGATTCACTAACTCTTTTATTTAGCCCTTTTTAATAATTTAAATCAACATGCGATCAATAGTGAAATATTAACGACAAATAAATACATGCGGAAGACGTAATCTGATAACTTAGCCAAAAACAAGTACGACGGTACCAACATACATCTCTACCCGGAACCGGTGTCACAATATCACGGACCATCTACGAATTGTACATACAAATGTCTCGAAAGAAAGGTACAATATGTCTCTGAAATAAATGAAAATAGAACATAAGGATAGAAGAGAACGCCGGGCCTACGGACGCCTGCAGGACTACCTCAGGATCTCTAACTGAACTGAAGGCAGCCATCCAAAGCTTTGGTCCAAAAGCTACCACTCCGGGATCTGTACACAGTGCAGAGTGTAGTATCAGCACAACCGACCCCATGTGCTGGTAAGTGTCTGGCCTAACCCCGGCGAAATATGACAAGGCTAGGACCATATTACCAAATAAACCTGTGCAGTTATATAGTATACAGCGGAAAATAAAATAGAAATAAGCAAGTAAAGATGGGAGGGGGAACATGTTGCGAGGGAATATCATTACCAGCAGTAATTTAAGAGAAAGACATAAGGACAATTTAGAATTCATAGCAAAAGAATAAGGAACTTGTCACCAATCTATAAGCACCTCGTATTATCTATTGTTGAGGCGCACAACTCGATCCAAAACATAATAACACTGTTGCGGCGTGCAACCCGATCCATATCATTTATCATTGTTGCAGCGTGCAACCTAATTCAATTATATCATTGTTGCGGCGTGCAACCCGATCCAACCATAATATTGTTGCGGCGTGCAACCCGATCCAAATATAATATTGTTGCGGCGCGCAACCCGATCCACATATACAGTTCAACACCAATCACAACGAAAGTCCCGGCAAGGGATCAATAAAGAAATAACACTATCCAGCAAGGGAATCGACAATATAAGTAAATACGTCCCGGCAAGGGAAAATCAGCTATAACCAAACTTGTTCTAACATCTAACTACCTCCACTAATACCAATACTCAATCATAAGTAATTTTCACGAGAATAATCATAATCCTTGCTCGACACAGAGAATCAACAACTTAGGCATTCGTAGTATTTATTAAGAACACAACAATTTCAATTTAAGACTCACGGTCATGCTTGACACCAACGTATAGATACTCGTCACCAAGCCTATACGTCGTACTCAACTAGTAACATCTATCAAATAGGACACAACTCCTAATCCCTCAAGCTAAGGTTAGACCAACCACTTACCTCGAACTTCTACGACCAACTCAAGTCTCAAACACTGTTTTTCCTTTTGAATTTGGCTCCAAATCAATTGTATCTAGACATAATCGACTTAATAACATCAATAAATGCTAAAGAATTCATACCCAATGCTTAATTATAGGTTTTCTATCATTTTTCCCAAAAAGTCAAAAATTGACCCCGGGCCCGCTTGGTCAACACACGAGGTTTTGACCAAAACTCGATCACCCATTCACCCCCGAGCCCGAATATGTAATTAGTTTCAAAATCCGACCCCAAAACGAGGTCTAAATTCCAATTATTCAAAAAGCTCTAACTCCATCCAAATCCCCAATTTTCTACCATTTAAACCCTAGGATTTTAGATAAAAGTTGATGAAAACATTAGAGAGTTGAAAGTAATCAGTTAATGAACACTTGTGTTATACCCCATATATTCGTACATGAAAATACGCCATAAATAAATTAATGAGAGCCCGGAAGTGAGATGTCACGTCCCGCAGTATTACATTACGGTGATGTCATGTTTCGCAGTATTAAGTTACAATGATGTTGTACCTTAAAATATTGTACGTTAAAATTTCATTTTCAGTTAACCGATGTAAGATCGGGAATGAGATCATCTTGACGTTAACGTACTTACGCTATTTATAGCAGGCAATAAATAAGTGTTATGAAGAATAAGAGGGTACACAGATTAGAGAAAACGAGTTTCGTTGAAAGGAGTCAATTTGGAATAAAATACGGGTCGAGCGATAA